TATATATATATATATATATATATTCTCTTTTCATTTTCCCTTTCGTTTTTTTTCTTTTCATTTTTTTTAAAATCTCTTTTTTTTTTTCTATTTTTTTAAATTATATGCATATATTTAAATAAGTGAACACGCACGCATATATACATATAAAATCGACAACAATCATAATAATTGGTGGCATTAACTATTATGGATAGTGGGAAAATTAGCCACAATAAGTAATCAATGCACTCAAACTAATGACAAAGTCACAAAAATAGCTGAATGAGATGAAGCAAAGAACTTACTCAAAAGTATAGAAAGATGTGTGGGATTTGGGCTGGTCTAATGGAGGAGTGGAGTTCTGAAGTGAGCCACTTACGATTGTGGGCTGAAGTTTTGGGCTGTTTGAGAGGTTGATTGAGGCTTAGTGGGCTGGAAAGGGTTAGAGTGGGCTGAAATTTAGGAAATGAGCTGCTGGATATTTTGAGCGTGCTGTCTGGGAGGATTTGGAGTGGGCTGAGCAATATTTGATTATAGGAAATGGCTTGTTGAATATTTTTTTGGTTCACGTGAATGAGAAAAAAAATGACAAGCAGGAATTTCTGACAGAATTTCACGTGCAAAGGATTTCGGCTGGGTATGAATAGGAGGCTCGGTAAGCAACTTTGTGAAGCAAAGCTTAAAAGGAAAGGGACGGGTGAAGGCGTGAGCTGTAGTTTTTGTTTGGGTCATGGTCGTGAGGAAGAAACAGAGGCGTGAAAGATTTCGGCTCTAGAAGGAAGTCTGATGTTTGCTCGGTTGAAGGTATGGGTGAAAGAGTCTGAGCCGATCTTCTAATGGCTGAAGTCTATTGAGCAGATAAACCTTCACAATGATGATTGTCGGATGGATCCCAGCTTGCGAACAGGAGGAACGACTATCGATTGGGATTTGTGTGAAGTAGAGATGGCGAAAGGCTTCTGGTTTGCGTGAGGCAGGGTCGGACAGAGGTGTTTGGCGTATGGGCTGGCTGACGAAGGGAAGGCTGGAGGTGTTGTTGACAGATTGTGAGGAATTGGAGGCGGTGGCTGCGTGGATTTGAACGGAGCACTGAAGAGGCGGGATGAGAAGATGGACGGGTGCTGGAAGACGAAGCAAAGCATTACAGTGGTTTACGTGAAGCTTGGTTGATGGGAGGGAGAAGAGACGGACAGAGCTTGGAGGAAGAAGGGTTGAGGGTGGCTGCCATTTCTTCCTTTTCTGAGCAAGTGCCGAGCAAATAGGGAGCAAATACCGAGTATACCGAGTAGTACCTAGCAATATCGAGCAAATACCGCGCATATTTGTTTCGGGTTGGGTCGTCGGGCCGCGGGGTAAAAAGAAAGAGCACGTGACGATATATTATAGGCTAACTGATGTATCTCTAATCAGATAACCTGAGGCAATAAAAATTCCCGGCCTGGATGCAATAATTTGCCGCTAACCACTACAATGAATGTAAACTTTTCTTTTCGCGATGGACCGTTCCGCAGATGGCAGCAGTAGCTCTCACCCCCTGTTTTTTTGGCGGGAAAAGCATTCCTCCCACCACATGGCTTTATATTTTTGGCGGGAACAGCGCTAATTTACCTCTCCCGCTGCCATAACAGAACGAGCAGGAGCGGGAGAGAGAGAGAGAGAGAGAGAGAGAGAGAGAGAGAGAGAGAGAGAGAGAGAGAGAGGATGGTTGGGCTGCCCTACGACTGCGTCGCGAACCCGCATGGTGCAGTGCGGCTGACGTTCGAGAAGGCGGTGGCGGCGTCGCAGGACGCCGATTCCGTTGCGGCCCTATGTGGCAAGGATTGGGGCGCGGTTGATCTTTTCCGCATGTTCCTTTTTGAAGAAGACGGCCTTTCAAAGGTACTATTAAAACCTAAATTTATCGCTAATTGTTTGAAAATCTTTATTTGTTTTTCATCTATTTGCCTGATAGGTATCTACAATTGTTTGTCGCAAACTGAATTCGAACCTTATTTTTGTTTGATTCAATTGATATTTGCAAGGTATTAGTTTTAGATGAAAGCTGGAACCTTTTCGTCTGCCTTTTTGCTGCTCGAATAATTCGTTTTCGTTTTTGTGAAATCGAGCCAGGTTCCGATTCTTAATAAATCGAGTCTTCCTTGGATTAAGCCCAACACTCTGGTACGCTTCAGGGGGATGGTGCAAGATATGCTCGGGAACGAACTCTACATCGGGGCTTTCAAGGCATGATCCTTATTTTCAAAATTTCAACTTTTCTTTTTGGATAGCAATTTATTTCTACTAAAAAATATGCTATTCTATAAAGGATGGTTCAACTTGGAGGACGAACAAGTTTACTGATGTAGCCTGCCGCCCGATTCCTTCATCATGCCAATCTTTTCTGTGGGAGCGCCGGCTTTTTGTTTGTGTTCCTGTACGTATTATGCGATCTTTATTCTCTTGCTGAAAACCTGCCGAATTATCCTCTGAATATTCCTGTTCTTTTAGTTTTGTGGTTATGGTTTTGTGTCTCATAGGAAATTTTCTGTTTCAGCAGTTCCAATTTCAGTTTCAGCTAGAAACATCATTTCATTTGGCTATGAATATCAAGTTTCTGAAATTATAATATAAGCATAAGATATAAAAGTTAGTTTTTTGCGCTAATGATGACAAGGAAAAGAAGCACAAGATACATTTGACAATAGTCGTAGTTGTGCTCTTCAAAATAGGCATACCATTTCATCCAAATAAAGGAAAATAAGTACGTTAAGAACTAAATACCAGTGACATGTAAGCTCTTTCTTAATATGCAAACAATGTTATTAGGTACATGCATACATTCTATGCCTTTACGGCTTTATCCCACTTGTAACTATACTAATAAATTTGTATGCAGTATATGATACATTCTATGTTCAATGGGAAACTACATGTTTATTGAAGTGTAATGAATAATGTATACTTTTTAATTATTTTAAAATATAATATTTTACATTTGAAATAATAAATTTGCTTAAATGAATGAAAAAGAAGTTTGATTGATGTTGTTGTTTTCAAGGAGAATTGAGGGTGTCTAGGATTTTACATCATCCTTGTACAAGTTTTGCAGACACTATATTAGAAGTCCCTAAGTGTTGAGTAGTTTGAGGGCTAAAATATGATATATCAAGATTTTCAATTAATCAATTATTGTTTTCCATTGTTAAGGGCTTCCTAATCTTACTAGCAATTTTTTATATAGCTAAAAAATTCTAGCAAGAAAAAGTGGGATGGGAAACTCAACCTTCATCAAACTATAAGAAAATTTTCTTAAATAGGCTTGAAGTTAAGAAGCCCTTTTTTCATAAGATAAAAGACTTACTATTGATGATGAGATATGCAAAATAATTTTAGCAGAGGCAAGCAAACATATATTAGTACTGTATGTGAAAGTTGTATAAGTTCAAAATGTCGAGCATACTGTAGTGTATCGTGCCTTAGACTAGAAGAAATATTGTAGATGTATCTTTAGTGACTCATGGTTTATTGATGTTATCTTTGTTTTGGTGTCTCATTATGTGGCAAGAAAATTAAAATTGCACATTGAGTGGTGACCAATTATTTTTTTAATTTCATTTTATGTGTAAATTTTTTATGGCAAATTTTTTAACTTGTTTTTTTAAAGATTTTGCTGTTTTAGTAATGGCTGAATTCTAAAATAAAAAAATATCAAAAATAATACAAAATTTATCAGCCTAAAACTAAAAAAACATAGCTATTAAAAAGAATGATGATTGATGAAGTAGGTTGGTTACTCGATCCTGCATAATTGAATGCCTTAAAAATTTTTTCTGAACTCACCCGATGCATAATAACAAAATATTCGTCCAACAAGGCATACATTAAAAAAAAAAAACTTTTAACTTGAGAACTTTCTCTACAAGGTGCAAATTTTCCCTTTAAAGAATGTTTTTCCATATTCTTAATAAGAATAATTGTTTAAAGTTGTTTTGGATAAAAAATATCCTGAATGTGCTGCTGTCTTAATTTTGTGTGTTTTTTAAAGTGAATAATCAGTAGAGTAACCGATAATAATATTGTTGCCGTGCACTAACACGGTATAGTCTAGTATTGAAATTCATCCTTTATTCTTGTTCATTTTGAAGGAAGATTTCAATTGGCTAGATGATTTTACCTAGGTTGTAATCTTTTTACTGTTTTTTCCTCTTTTAATGCATGGTTGCATTTCTCCTAAAAAAAAACACGGTATAGTCTAAAACTAACGGTATTTTGGTCACATTGTCGGGACTGCTTTATTAGTCTAGAAGAGCCCTCCAAAAACTTTTAGAGGTGAGCTAAATTTATCATAGAAAATAAAAATTATATGTATACTTTTAAAATTTCTCTCCTCTGTTTATCTCTAAATCTATCTCCCTTATTGATCTTAAGTTAATTCTTCAGTTTCCAAAAATTTTAGTTGTTGGTTTTTTGTTGAGTTTGTATAACAACTTAATGGATAACACTAATGAAAAATTAATTAATTAATATTTGTTTTGCAACTTGCTCCTAGGTTCCAGGACAAAATTCATGGATTTTGGATGCTGCACCTCAGGTTGTTCTTAACAGCTATGATAAAGATGATGCTTCCCAACATGGGGAAAAACGTATGAGAGATGCAAGCCATGATGCCATGGAACTGAATGTGATTCTCTACCCTTTCAGATATCTACTTCTGGTTTTTTGGTTTCTACTTTAACAAGTACAATATATGGCAGGTACTGGATGAGATGGACTCTTCATGCTCCAAGAAGCAGGTAGTTGCTTCATCAAAATTATTAATGTAGCCATGGAAAAGCTAAACCTTTTTAGCATTTTGTTCAGTTTTAGGATAAAAGGCAAATATCTTAGTATTTCCATCTTGTGATCTGTGATGTTTTTTGTGTCTGGCAATCATGCAGTTTTTTTTTATAATTTTCCACGTAAATTTGGATTAGTCTTCATTGTTTGAGCTGTTATAAATTGCGTTTCACAGTTACTGCTATGATTATTTCGTTCTTGGGTTTAATGAAATTTGGTTTCAATGGCTGACTTCATTGGTCAATTATGATTTATTATTTGTAACCATATGCAGGCATGAGTTGTAACTCTTTTCTTTAGGAACCAAGTCACCAAAAAATTGATAACTCGTAATAACTTTTCTGCAGAGGGAGGATGAACATATTTTTCAGTCATGCCAGTCATTAGTGGGAGAAGCAGTTTTGCAGGGTGGTATGCTCGAGAACAGGAACAATCTTGGAGAAAGTTCCTTTTCATGTTTAGTTAAGGTGAGTCATATTTACTTCATTTTATTTGAGTTTCCTCCCTGTATAACCTAACCGTTTGACTCTGATTCTGTCACTTCCATGAAATAATTAGCTATGATTTCATTTGTACCATCTTATAACATGCTATAGACTAGAGTCATTTTGATTGAGGTGTTCAAGTTACAACTTCTACCTTTGATTTCATTAGATTATTACTAATTTCATTTGATTATTACCTAGAATTGCATTTGTGCAGGCATATGACTTGCCGGAGAGTCATTTGAAATTGAATGATGTGTTCGAGTTTATAGGCATTTACACGTTTGATCCCGAACTTGTTCATATGAGTAGCACTGATGATTCTTCATTTGACCTCATGGAAGATGTGTCAAATCAGCTCCCTCCGAATAAGGTCGGTCTTTTGTGCTTCAGTTTTAGCTTTTTGTTTGTTGAAATGGATTAGTTTCTATTCTCTTATTGATTCAAAAACTACACATGGAAATTTTTATATTTCCTTGTCTTTATTTTGATGTGTTGTGGTCAACAGTGAGCATAAATCTCATTTTGATAACTTTTTTTTTTCCTTTGTTTTTGTTATATCAGTGCATATTATGCTAATGCAAAGTGAAAAATGGATTCACATTACACTGCATTGAGCTATATCAAGGAACACTGATTTTGGTGTTTCCATATAATAAGTGTAAAAAGAGTGATTTTATTTGGAAAATGTCAGGGAAAGAGTTATATTTAGATAAAATATCCTCTTAGCTAAAATTTGATGTGGAGATACATTGGCTGGGCCACCCAAAAGCTGTTTTGATTTGCATGTAGATGGGAGAGTAAATGTTAAGGAATCCGAGTAATTGAATGATTGACATTTATTAATAGGCTTCAGTTTTTTGCGTTGAATATGTATTTGACCACTAAAGTGTTTGAATCAACTTTTACTTTGATTCCTCTTTGGTTCTATATATATATTCCTTAATCAGTGATATTCGAGCCAATGGTTAGGCTAGATTGAGTGATTCATGTTTGTGAATCCTATGGATTTATGGTGGTTTCTGTTATTGTTTGAGCAAAGTTTAAGAGTGGATCAACTTGCACGTATATTTAAGGAGAAAATCCATTAAGATTAACTTGCACTTGAACATCTAAAGGTACCAATATATTTAAGATTAAGTTACTTTTCTACAAGGAAGAATGTTGTGGTCTAAAAGATGATAAAGATTATAATTGAATGATACCCCTTTAAAAACCTTGTTCTGCTAGTAGCCACTTTCTCCATGTTAATTCCGATTATATCTTAAAAAAACTTCAAAAATATCAATTTCCACCAACACCATAGTAATAAAGGAATACGACAATGATGTTATTGGAACATCAATCTGCAATGGGTTGCCAAAAATCAAGCCCATGGAAAACAATATCTTTTTGCTGAAGAGATGTACCTTAAAGTTGGGGAAATTCTATCCAGACCAGCACAACAGGTGATATGGTGGGTAAGTCAAACTTTGCCACCCTTTTAACATTCTCATAGGAAATTTGCTATATGGATGGGTTTGCTGATGAACAAATCAGAATTATCTTTTATAATTGAGAGTTTGAGGAGAACATGTCTCAAGTTAAGTAATGAGTTAGTAAAATTCCCACTTAGATTGTTATTCTCTTGGCAACTTTTGATAGACTTAAGGTTGGGGAGCTATACATAAACTTAGCAATCAAAGAATGATTTGGTTGATCAAGTTTATTGATTGTTAGCTGATGAATGATAAGAGCAGGTTTATCTTGAAAAGAACAAGATAAAGTTAACATTGATTTTTCAGTAAGAAAAATGGAGCTCGGTTAGTTGTAGAGATGGGTGATTACAAGAGGGCAAAGTCTGTTCTTGGATCACCTGCATAAAGAACTTGCTCAAGCGCGGGTAAAGCCAACACCTTGAGAAGCACTAGAAATGGAGCAAGGCTCATGTGCTGTGCCTCTCCACGAGGTCACCACTAGTAGTAATCACCTTGATGTCAATCGTTGAGGGAACAACTTCCGCCAAGATCCATGGAGGCTACTCATCAGAAGGAGCAAAAAAAAAAGGGCAGTGCTTCTTGCCACTGTTGGGGTTGGGAGGAGGCCATTACGAGCAAGGGTAGGGCCATCATTGTCAGATCAACATGAAGGAAAAGCCAGTGGTAGGGGAACAAATGGACTGCCCCAGGTAGGGAGGTGTTGAAGGCAATCCATTTATTCTACTTGTGTTCTGAGTGTGGACTCCATGGTTTGCTGCAGTCTTGATCTACTTTAGATGTTTAATTCTTCTTCTTCTTATCAAACCAATCTTTTGGTTCCATTGTTCTTACATATGAAAACTAGTATATTGTAGATGGATTCCATAATATTATGCCAAACTTTCTAATAAGTGTATATAGCAGTCAGCATTGCTTCCTATCTCTATTTCAGCTAAAATTCTGTCATATATAATGTTCAACCAGGTACCACGTCTTCATTGTTTAGTATCCAGAAAGCTGGCTGTTCAAGATTTTCTCTCTGGTTCGCTTGCACTGCAGGTAAATGTTGATATTTCTATTTCTCCTTGAGTATAGTTTCAGCTGAGAGTTGCTATCCAAAATTTTATTTCCTGTTAAATATTTGTCTTGTTTCTGATTTCTCTTAGTAATGTGCATACAGCCACTTCCTAACGTGATGAGCGATATCCGAGAATCATTGCTTGTGCATCTTTCAGCACTTCTTGGCAATGATACAGTAGCAGCACAGTTCTTATTGCTGCATCTCTTATCAAGGGTACGAAACTGAATGTTTTTTTTTCCTTGTAGTATGCTGTGTGTGTGTGTGAGTGAGAGAGAGAGATTGCTTCCCTTTTTCTTTGGCTAAACATGCTGCATACTAATTCTGCATCAAATTAGCAAAGACTAACAATGGAGTGGCTTGCCTTGTGTAGGTCTCTTATATGTAGACAAAAATTCCTTTCTATGATACTTATTCTTATTGAAAATGCATTAGAAGTAAATGACAAAATAGTTACTTAAGCCTGTCGACGGCGCATCCTCATACAACTAGATAATGGAATTGATAAAAATCACAAAGTAAATTATGACTCGCAAATATCAGGACACCAATTAAACTAAATTCATTTATATTAGTGTCAATCTACACTTGAGTGATACGAAGCTTCCTTCTTTTGCCATACACGGATTTGAGGTGTTTCCTTGGATGAGTGATTTATGGATCTTCTTTCCTGCCCAAGCAATTTTAATATGCACGCTTAAATCGATTTTTTAGCTGACATTTCCACAGAGTAAACACACAAATATCCCATCAGTTGCAACTTTAAAGTTTGTTGTGCTTTGACATTTCCACAGCTGAAGTTCTCGTTGTTCTTCGCTAATTTTATTTTTATTAAACATTAAAACTGAAGATACCATGAGAAATTTAAGGATACTTGGTATATACTTAAACAATTAGTCCTTTTTCCCCTCTAGTTTTTGCAATTGCTTTAGGCCTTGTTTGTTTCGGCGTTTTTTTTTTTACCTTTTCTGTTTAGAAACGGCGAAGTTATTTTTTTGGTCGCTGTTTGAATGTGGCATTTCTATAGAAATGTTTTTAGGGAACTTCAAATTTCTACTGTTTTGAGAAGCTTTTTGATATTTGCTCTCTTTAAAAAATTTCACTCCCTTATCCAATATTTCTAAAACTACCTTTTACAAAAGGCGAGGAAGAACAGAACGAAGCCTTAGTTTCACATCAAGTGTGTGTTGCTTCATCTTCCATTTTTAATTAATTGCTGCAATAACCTTTGGATATTTGTTACCAACACATACCAGCATAACAACAGAAAAATTATTAGGTTTCGTTGTTTATTTGCATTCAGTGAGATTGTTTACGTTTATTTTCACACATTCACCACAATTTTTCCTATCTCCTGTTTTGATATATTATTTCATCCTTTGAGTAGGTACGCCATACAATGGATGTGATTGCAGTAGGGAAGCTGTCACTTAACCTGACTGGTTTTAATAGAGAAAGTGCATCAGTTTTTGGAAATCAACTTAACGATATAATTATGGAACTTTTTCCTTTTTCCAAAGTAATTCCCCTCTCCGTGGAGTATCTCAACAACGCTGTGCTTCAACCTAGGAAAGATAACCAGTCGGGAAGGTGCTCACCCGTCTCTGTTGCTGATATTGTTGGGACTTTTATCTTAATTATTATTAATCTGCTATTAATTTGAACTTCATATCAGGTTGGTGACTGGAGTGCTACAGTTAGCAGAAGGTACTCACTTGACTATTGATGAGACTCATTTGCAGGCAGGGGTGCTCAATTCTGTTGGTGTTGAGAATGCACGTTTATTAAAGAATTTGATGGAGTGGCAAACGGTATTACTTCATTTATCCTTTTGTCTGCCTGATTTACATGTAAAATACAGGTTTTGAGCGAAATATGGCTTAGTGATGGTAAGTTGCATTTTCATAAAAAGAACTCTACTTTCTAGGTTCTCATATGCAATAGCATTTCAGACTTGTATGATCCAAATGTTTACTTTATATTACATTTTCTAAAATCCATGAAAAAAGAAAGTTAGCCTAAGAAATGCTGAAGAACAATGGGGATTTCATGTCATCATGAATGAAGCCCAAGAAGCTTCCCATGGCAGTTTCCACCAGCTAAGGAAACATGAAACACAAAATAAAAGACAAATACTTCAATCTTAGTTAGCCTCTAAATGGAAGAATCACCAACTACATGCATACAAATTTGGGAATAGCTTGTAACCAAAAGAAGACAGCACCATTTCAAAACAGAGCCCTTCATCCTAGTGACAAAATCATTACAATTTTCATAAATAAATTGATCACAGCCGCTGCATGCCTCCCATAGTGGAGAGTGGAATACGATTTAGCTTAATATATTAGTTAATATAAGCCTTAGTCATGTTTGTAGTGGAATACTATTAGTTAATATATTAGTACTGTTAATTATAATATATTAGTGTTAGTAGTTGAACTTTAACTTCGGGAAAAATGCAAAAAATCAAATTAATGTGATAACTCACACACTTCCAAATTAACATGTAGTGATATTTATCAAATTTTTGAATTGACGTGCAGATCACACTGAAATAATTTTTTGATGGTTTTCTTAGAAGTTTCTTTTTTCAAGTTAATTTAGGATTTTTTTTTTTTTTTGGTATTTTTACCTGAAATTTTGGGTATTACGGGCTGCACTGCCTCGATTAGAGGCTTAATGGCTACTTTTTATGGTTGAAGAGAACTGACATATCTTGCAGGCGAATTCATGGTGGAACCATTTTTAACGAGGTTTAAAATTGTGCAATTGAGTATTGAAATGTTTTTAGTTCGTGAGGTGAGGCATAAGCCTTAAAGCGTTTTGAGGCGTAAGCCTCAAAATCCGAAAGTTGTGTAAAGTAAAAATAAAATTTAAAAGTGATTTTTAATATAATACACAAATAATACGTTAAAGAATGGCATATTAACTTTTTAGTGAAATCTCTCTTGATACTCCGTCACTGAACCATCCTGTGTCAAGGCGAAGAACTGCTTGTAGAAGTCTCCTACCATGCTAGTTTGGAAACATTTTACTTAATAATCCTTAAACTCTCTCCAACTCCGTATGGGTCGTTGCATGTCCCTCCACTAGTACCAAGACAAAACCTTCCCTTCCAAACATAAGCCCGCTGTCGTCAATCTCTCCTCCTCCAACCCATTGACAACGTAGTATTTTTCTACCTTGTAGATCCACCCATGCGCTTCCTCCCCCTCAAAGATTGAAATCTTCAGTTTCCTTGAATGGCCTTCATACCCTCAATTTCTCATTCCCTAATGGGGCAGTTCACCCCAAGTGTTCCAATCATCCATTCTATGCTCATACCCACACCTTTCATCAAATTCTCACAGTCTCTTTCAAATTCAGAGCCCCTTGGTTATAATAAATCTCTCTACTTTCAAATCTAGTCCTCCTTTGGTCATAATTATCCCTTTTCCTTCCAAATTTTGCCCCTCCTCTCAAATGCAGCACCCATTTGTTCATGCTCCACCTCCTCAAGCTTCTCCCCATACCCTCTATTTGGCTTCTCTATAAAAACAGGCTCTAAGGTAGGCATTCTCTATTTTCTTTTTTGAGTCTCCACCTCCTGATTATCCCTTTGCTTTATTGGATTAGAGTTTTCCTCGCTTCCTGGGTTGCCGGAGGCTTCCCTTGCCTTTGACAACATCGTTTTGGATTAGCCCTCGAGCATCTTCTTTAACATCTCCCCCAGGCTGGAAAATTTTTTGTCCGTCTTCTCGTTAATGGCTTAAATTTGTCTTTTTATATCTAAAAGTTGAGTGTGGAGATCTAAAATTTTAGCTTTCAATCGTCCGATCTCTCATTCCAATATTTCTAACTTTCTTCTTGCATGGAACTTGGATTTAACCTCCAATAGCAAGAGCCGCAAGTTTGACACGAATTATGGCCTCCATTCAGCAAAAAACAACACGATCGAATACGAAACACAACAAAATTCAACGAGGAAGACTTCTAATTCAACCCAAAAAATTGCTCTGATACCAATTGGATAAGAAACACTTGAAGATTTCAAATAAATCCTATCAATTGCGGAAAAAATAGCGAGAAAACTCTTCTGAACTCCATTCAAAACAAAAAATAAGTAGTTTTTATTGCAAAAATAAAACTAACGGAAGAAAAATAGCAAGATACAATTGATCCTCTATTCGAGATGAGGATCTATCTCTCTCAAATCTCTAGATGCCGTTAGAGCCTAAAAAACCTAAGAGATCTCAAATTCAACTAAATTCAAGATGCCATAATCTTAGGAAAATAAATTATTTAATGCATACAATCAAAAAGAAAATCTATAAACAACCCTATATTTAAATTTTCCTCATAACTCCCACAAAAATCATTCCTAAACAACTCCCTTGGACACGGGGGTTTGAGCGGCGTACATGAGAGGTTGAAATCTTCCGCCTGAGCTGGTCCCGTGTGGATCGGTTGGACCGGTCCAATAGATCGGTCTAATAATTGACTCTTTTTGCTGAATGTTATGAAGATTCAAGAAATTGTCTTGATTGTAATGATTTGGTTAATCAGTTCCGGGTTCGACCCGTGACCCGAAATTGACACCCCTAATCATAAGCTATTTGGATAACAGAATATTCCTCCAAGGTTGATGATCAAAAATACTTGAAGATTTCAAATAAATCCTATCAATTTAAAAAAAAAAACCACATAAAATTCTTCCAAACTCTAAAAAAGTAGTAGTTTTTATTGTAGAAATCACTAACGGAAGAAAAATAGTAAGATACAATTGATCCTCTTTTTGAGAGGAGGATCTATCTATCCTAAATCTCTTGATGCTGCTAGAGCCCAAAAAAATTTAAGAGATTTCAAATTCAGCCAAATTCAATATGTCTTAACCCTTGGAAAGCAAACTATTTATTGCATACAATCCAAAAGGAAATCTCTAAATAGCTCCTACATTCAAATTTCCCTCGTAACTCCCTAAAAAAATCTTCCTAAATAGCTCCCTTGGACTCGGACCCGGTGGTTCGAGCGGCGTACAGGAGAGGCAGAAATCTTCCTCTGTTCCGCTTGAGTCGGTCCCATGTGGTGAAAAGATGACCTTGTCCGCAAGGTGAAAAGACGATACCCTCCTCCATTCTCTTTTCATCTCTTTTCATCACAAACGGTAAGAACTTGAAGAGTTTGATCCTTACATGTGTGCCCTGGCATATATCTCTTATCACATCTGAAATAGAGCCCCTTTGCCCTTTTCTCCTACAATTATGTTTCTGTGAGCTTTTTTAAGTTGTTCCCAGGTCTTTCTCCCATAGTCTTCTTCTTCGAAGTCTCCCAAAGAGTACCCAGTGTCGGCTCCTTGGGTGCTAGAAAGGTGGTGGTCCTCCTGTTTGGGTCTCCTGAGCTACTACCTCCCATCTCTCTCTCTCTCTCTCTCTCTCTCTCTCTCTCTCTCTCTCTCTCCAGGTGCCTCTGATCCACCACCAATTGTGCTAGCCCATAGCCTTCCCGAAGTCATGAGGCCTCATTACTTTAATCGTTACCCGAATCTCTGGTGTAAGTCCCTTCATGAAATTTCCCTCTAGCACTTTCTCAGGAAGGCGGTCCAATCGACTAGTAAGGTACTCAAATCTCTCTTGATACGCTGTCACTGAACCATCCTGTGTCAAGGTGAAGAATTGCTTGTAGAAGACTCCTCCCCTGCTAGTTTGGAAACATTCTACTAAATAATCCTTGAACTCTCTCCAACTTCGTATGGGTCGTCGCATGTCCCTCCACTATTACCAAGACAAAATCTTCCCTTCCAAACATAAGCCCGTTGTCGTCAATCTCTCCTCCTTCGTCAATCCATTGACAACGGAATATCTTTCTACCTTGTAGATCCACCCATGCGCTTCCTCCCCCTCAAAGATTGACATCTTTAGTTTCCTTGAATGGCCTCCGTACCCTCCATAATTTCTCATTTCCTAATGGGGCAGTTCACTCCAAGTGTCCCAATCATCCATTCTATGCTCATACCCACACCTTTCATTAAATTCCCACAGTCTCCTTTCAAATTCAGCACCCCTTGGTTATAATAAATCCCTCTACTTTCAAATCTAGCCCTCCTTTGGTCATAATTATCCCTTTTCCATTTCAAATTTTGCCCCTCTCCTCTCAAATGCAGCACCCATTTGTTCATGCTCCACCTCCTCAAGCTTCTCCCCATACCCCCTCTATTTGGCTCCTCTATAAAAACAGGCTCTAGGGTAGGCATTCTCTCTTTTCTTTTTTGAGTCTCCACCTCCTGATCATCCATTTGCTTTATTGGATTAGAGTTTTACCCGCTTCCTGGGTTGCCGGAGGCTCCCTTGCCTTTGACGACGTCGTTTTGGATTAGCCCTCGAGCATCTTCTTTAACATCTTCCCCAGGCTGGAAAAATTTTTGTCCATCTTCTCGTTGATGACTAAAATTTGACTTTTGATATCTGAAAGTTGAGTGCGGAGATATAAAATTTTAGTTTTCAATTGTCTGATCTCTCCTTCCAATATTTCTACCTTTCTTCTTGCATGGAACTTGGATATAACATCCAATAGCAAAAGCCGCAAGTTTGACACGAATTATGGCCTCCATTCAGCAAAAAACAACATGATCAGATACGGAACACAACAAAATTCAACGAGGAAGACTTCTATTTCAACCCAAAAATTGCTCTGATACTAATTGGATAGGAAACACTTGAAGATTTCAAATAAATCCTATCAATTGCTGAAAAAATAGCGAGAAAACTATTCCAAATTCCATTCAAAACCAGAAAAAAGTAGTTTTTATTACAAAAATAAAACTAACGGAAGAAAAATAGCAAGATACAATTGATCGTCTATTCGAGAGGAGGATCTATCTCTCTCAAATCTCTAGATGCCACTAGAGCCCAAAAAAAACTAAGAAATCTCAAATTCAGCTAAATTCAAGATGTCATAATCCTAGGAAAATAAATTATTTAATGCATACAATCAAAAAGAAAATCTATAAACAGCCCTATATTCAAATTTTCCTCATAACTCCCACAAAAATCCTTCCTAAGCAACTCCCTTGGACCCGGGGGTTCGAGCGGCGTACATGAGAGGTGGAAATCTTCCGCCTGAGCTGGTTCCGTGTGGATCGGTTGGACCTTTCTAATAGATCAGTCTAACAATTGACTCTTTTTGCTGAATGTTATGAAGATTTAAGAAATTGCTTGATTGTAATGATTCGGTTAATATTTTCCCTGTTCTTCTTTCTTCATTTTGCCATGTTATTATATTGCTTTTGTCTTGTTGATTTCATGGCTTCTTTAAATTTTTCCAAAATAAGGGACATATTCTCATCAAAGAGGGATGCAATATTTGATACATATCCGACACAACACGCCTTTGACACATTTCGGACACATTGAAAATGTTTCTGATTAAAAAAATATTAAATGCAAGTTGGACATGCATGTATGACAAGCGTGTCTTAAATATTTTATAAAAAAATTTAAAAATATTTTTTTTTGTATTTAAAAATTTTATTTATTTAAAATATAAAATCTAAAACTCTTATTTCCTCTTCATCAAATCAAAACAATCGTCCGCCCTCAATACCCCGTTCATAGAATATTCTTATTTTCATTTCATCTTAACATGTCTTGACTTTCGTTTCACAACAATGACTAACGTCATCTCAACATCGACGTCTGAATTTTTATTTCTAAAAATTTTAAATATTATATTTATTCAATTTCTATACATTATTTTTAAAAATATAAAAATTATAATACCATCTCCAACCCGTGTCCTATATTTTTAATAATTGTCGTGTCCCGTGTCTGTGTCATATCGTATCCGTGTCGCTATGTTTGTGCCCGTGCATCATAGAGAACCATCAATTTAGCAATACATTTTTTAGTTACCTCCTTATACTCAAGAACCTGTTCTATAGCATGCAACCAATGAATGGAGTCATCTATATCTATCCTTCAAATCATGCATGTCAGTCTTGATACCAACATCTGATATAACTCTTCAAATGTCTCCAACAGGGTACTGTCGGACTGGTTCTTCATTGCTAGAATTTTCTTGATGAAATGGGTTTATTTCTGTTTCCCTTCAGGCAACTCTTCTCCTCGGTTCCATTGCTCTTCCTATCTACTTTGCTCAAACATGGCAAAGTTTTTTATTTGTCAAATTTTCTGTTGCAAATGCTCGATCACAACTTGCATGCGTTACATCTTCCTATTTTCGATGGCTTAGTTCTGAACTTCTGAAATGAGTTGCTTCCCAACAGAGTTAAACCAGAATACTATCTCTGTTCTTATATTGATATTTACATTACAGGTACAATATGACTTCGAATATTACAAGATAGAAATGGCTGCTGACATCCAGATGCTGATCTTCTCTGAGGGGAAATCCAATATATTACCAGCTGATATGATTCTTCCTTTTCGTCCTGAATCATTTGTTCGTGTAAAGAAAGCAAGCACCGAAGAATTGCAAGCCTGGAGGTGGTATCTTGCCACAGTTAAGTCTCTTCACTACTCGAATGGCCCTCAAGTGCAACAGGTACAGGACAAAGCTTGCATCTTTCTTTTGACCGTGTAGCTAAAATTCTTTTAAGTGTTTTTTTAGTTGAAAAAGAATTTTGCATTTTACACAATTTTATCATTACATCAGACTTTGCTATGCAATTTTGAAATATAAATGCTATGAAATTTTGATACAAATAACCCTTAAAGCAGCAATTTTTCCTTACAAATTAACATGTCAGAGATCAAACAAATTTGCTTTGTTTCAGATGCTGGAAGATGAAATAGTTGCAGCCATGCGAGAAGATCGAAGCTTGGGATACAAAGACCTCGAGAGGTTTCTTTGGGTTCCTTCTGCAATTCATTTTCCATCCCCTCTTGCAATTGAATACTCAGTTATATTTCTACTACTTGCTTGTAGAGTTCTCATCATGGCGCAGCTGTTGTCGGCGAGCTTAGGTGAACGAAGCGTCTCATTGGAGCAGTGGCAGAAGGCGAAGGAGCTGGAGAAGCTTAGAAAGGAGAGGCTGAGGTGATACAGGGAAGCGTGTAAAATGTGTCATTTGGCTTTTGTCTGTGGAAGGATCAAATTCAGGACAGTGGCAAGAAATCTACCTATGATATTGTACATAAAGGTACTTCATTTTAAATTGAATCATCTTAACAATGTGCTTAGGGTCAACAAATTTTGTTTCCAAGTTCTAATATCAATATTAAGCGTTTTATAGCTTTTAAGTTGTGAAATATAACAATGAAATTAATATGTATTCATATTTATTATTAGAATTGGGAACAATGTGCATTAAGAATGAAGTTTAGGCTTGATTTAAGATAGCTTTCTTATTGCTTTTTAAGAAAATTTTGAAAACTCGTAGCAAAAGCTGTTTCAAATGAAGTCTAATGTTTCGTTTGGGATGGGTTTTTTTCCTATTTTTTAAAGTGGCTTTCTACTACAAAATTTTTACTGTTTTTTAAAGCCATTTTCTAGTACAAAAAATTTAATTTTTGTATTAAAAAACTGTTTTAAGAAATAGTAAAAATTGTCCCAAACGAAGTCTTCTTGAAATTTAGAAAAATTTACTCCACTGGATTACTAAAATCTTTCGATTTATCATATGCTTGAATTTGTTTCAGTGTTTCTTGAAATAGTGAAGCTCCTAAATTGAGAATTAAGCATGATGTTGCTCAAGGTTATGCAAGTATTTTTCTTATTGAGTTCAAGTTGAGTTCGAATGTGATTGAAGTTTTAAAATTTTGTTTAAATTTATTTGTTAGTTTTAATTCATTTGGTGTTATTTAAGTTTGACAAAAATTAAATATTAATAAGAAAATGCTTAATCATATTTATTTAGTTTGTTATTGAATTATTATAGGAAAATTTATTCTTAGCAATCTATTTGTTAATAAAAAATAAATCTGTTAATGGACATAAATGAATGAGTAAATATTCAAATTTATTTATTTATATGTTAATTTAATAAAATTTTGTTCGATTATGTAAGGAAACAAATATGTAAGAACATTATATGAGCTAGTATTGATTTTTAACATATTTTTGTATTTTATTTATTTTATATTTTAAAAGTAAAATTATTGTGCATATTTTAAATTATAATGAGCCAAATGAGTGGATAATGAGTGTGTTGATTTCTATTTTTAAGAATAAAGGTGATGCACAAAATTTTTGCTAATTATAGAGAAATTAAGTTAATGCTTCATACTTTAAAGTTATGGGAGAGAGTTATAAAGCATAGGTTGTGATGTGACATTAATGTTTCTTAAAATCAATTTGGATTTATGCTATGTAGGTCTACTGTGGAAGCTATATATTTATTGAGAGGTTTGATGGAGAAGTATAGAGAGAATAGAAGGATTTGCATATGATTTTTTTATTTAGAGAAAGCATATGATAAAGTTCTAAGAGAATTGCTATGAAGAGTTCTATATAAAAAAGTGGTTAATAATGCTTATGTTCAAGTTATTAAGGGTGTGTACGTAGGAGCTGGTACTTGTGTCCAAACATAAGATGGTTTGACCAAGTATTTTTCTATTTCGGTTGGTTTATATTAAGGATCAGTTTTAAACCAATACATTTTTGCTTTAGTCATGGATGTTCTCACTAGACATTTGCAAGAGGTTGCACCTTGGTGTATGCTTTTTGTTGATGATATTCTTCTTGTTCATAAGACTAGAGAGGGAGTTGATGTTAAATTTGAATTATGGAGGTCAACCTTAGAGTCTAAAGGCTTTCGTTTGAGTAGATCTAAATTGAATATATGAAATGTAATTTTAAAAATAATAAATCTAGTGGTGGATTGTGAAGCTGGGATTTAGTTGAGAAATGATCTTTCTATATTAGATTTAGATGAGAATTTGACTTTTAATAGGAAACAACGGAGAGAAATGATTCATGTAGCCCACTCTACATAATGAGATAAAGGTTTTTTGTTATTGTTGTTGTTGTTAAATTTATAATTAGCTGTGAGATTTTTGTTTAAAGCATTAGATGTAAAGGTGAAATTTTAAGATGAATATTAATTGATCTTTTTTTTTTTAATTTGATCCAAAATTTTGTCATAAACCATTTGATAACACAACTTAGAATTTCACATACCTTGAAAATAAAAGGCATAATAATTGTGAGCTAACACAACTCAGCAAGTTGTATTTAACCAATCTAAAATTTCAAATGAATTCATTATTAAACATTTAAGTTTTACTTGTGACAAATTTCTTATTGCTTTCTAAAACAATTTTTCAATATAATTTTTTGTTGAACTATATATTTTTGTAATAGAAAGTTGCTTTAAATAGCAATAATAAAGTTGTCACAAGCAAAGTTTTAATTCAATGTTAAAAGTAATATAATAAATTACTATATTTAACAAAATAGTAATTATAATTAGGGGTGTAAATGAGTCAAGTTGGCTTATTTATAAATAGTAACTGGCCAACACAATATTTTCTTGAGCTTTGATTCTTTGATAATGCTTTGTGTATGTTGAACTTGAAATGTTAGTAGTACACTGGAAAAATATATATAATGTATAAAGTGGAAAAAATAAAATCAACATTTACTAATATTTGTAATTATTAAAATATAAGATCGGGCTCCTAGATTGCAATAATAATTAGGAATTCAATCTACAATATCACTCTATCACTCATTATTACTTGTTACAAAAGATTAAAAGCCAAAATATAAAGATCAAAACTAAACCAGTAAGACCTGGTCTTCCTTTATTAGATCCTGCCTCATTTCTTAAAACATACAAAAATTATAGAATGAGCTAATAGCTCAACAAGAAAAGATACCATAACCTTCAATTGAAATCAATACATGATAATAAAAGCAATATGTATGTAACCATTCAATCTATATCAATATAAACATGTAACTGTAAGATCATGTAATAACCAATATAAGTAGTATTATTCATATGAGTAATAGAAATTATTAAAAACAATATAATTCAGATCTAGTGACCGGAAACCATATAAAAGATCATTACATTTTGTCATTTCTACGAGTTACCTCAAACCAATGTACATATGTTATATGCATGTTGTGCAACATCAAGTATCAATATATGCATATCATGTTTTCTATTATATGCATTGCAACATGTATATTATATATTTCATATGTCCTTATATTAATCTTATCAATCATATTAGTCTTGTCATATGCTTGTATTAGTCATACCCTATATCATATTCATATAACATTATATCATGTCACTTATGCAATTTATCATATAAACGCATGTCACATACATATATAAGCAGGATAGGAAATCTAGCTACATGTGATATTTTCTTGTATCAAGTACTATGGGCCAATCCTTTAAGAATCAGACTCAATCATATCAATCATCTTGCCATGAATCAATCTCATCACATATCATAATATAAATTAGGTGGCTTTCATGTAAGAAGTTGTTATTTCATACTCATTAACCGTATTATGTCATATGAGTAAATCTCCTTGTACAATTTTTTTTTTTTTCATATCACTTAGCATTACACAACAAACCTCATTCAAAGGAAAGCCCACATGCCTATCTTCCTATACAAGATAACATTTCTACAACCATCTTAAATTAGTCATTCATTTTCAGCCATCCTTTCTTGCTTACACGTTTTATATCATGTATATCAAACTAATAGACACTAAATACACATCATATGCAATGTTCATAACATGTAAACCTATTCAACATACTCATCGGTATGCATGTAATATGCTAAAAATGCATGTTGGACCATATGAATAGTAAATTAGTGCACATTATATATTTCATGCCCAAATGCAGTACATTTGACTCATGGTTATTTTATACTTAATATTTCTCTACTCATTTCAATTAAAATAACATATAAGCAAAATCACTTAATGAAAATTCAATATAATTTAGTGAAAATATTAAGGGGTTCATATATATCACATATCAAAAGTTATAAGGTGTAAAATTACTAAAACAAGTGATATTATATTTTATTAATTTTTGATAGGAAGAAAATAGGTAAAATATAAAAATCATTGAAAACATTGTAGGGTTATGATTACTTACCATGATCAAAACAATTTTCTCAACTAGAGTGATGAAAAATGAAAGCATGGTCCTCGCTCTCTCTCTCTCTTCCTTTCTCTTCTCTCCTCTCTCTTCTCTCACCCAGCTAAGGAAGGAATGCGAGGAATAGATGGGGTGGTGAGGGTTTAATAATAATGATAATTGGTATTTTATTAAAGAAATAAATTTTTTGACCCAACGCCATAACACTCTAGACCCCAACGCCACAACATTACCATATTTTCTCAAAAACTCGAGAGCTTGGCACCGCAAAGCTTACTCAGCTGCATTTCCATAAATGTAATAAAATTAAATTTGGGGTTATTACAAGTGATTTGATGGCAGTTGTTCAATGATAGATATTGAATTGTGGTGGTCCAATGGTGATGATCAGATGATCATGGTTTGATGGTAATAATCGAGTGGTGGCTAGATGGTGCTCTGGGATTCTTGAAGCATCTAGGCTCTCTTGAATCTCAAACAAATGGTTCCCTTCATATAGAAAGTGGAGGTATATTAAAAGCTTCTGAGAGTAAAATGCTTTGTAAATATAGCTAAATTTTGGAATGCTTCATTAGAAGACCCATATTGATTCTATCAATCATATGCGATCCTTTCAGTATTATGTGTCTGAATGATATCGAAGTTAAGTGATGTTGGGCTCCTTAAATTTGTCTTGTCGAGTTGTTCAATTTGATTACAAGCATGCGAGATTTGGAGATTATTTAATATTTAGTCGTCCAACTTACATCTCAAAATTTTTAATTATGATTCAAATGCTTGATCTGGGCTCGTTCAAATCCGAATCGGATGATCATGAATATGAATATACTATTCAAAAAATAATGACTATTTCAAAATTTTAACAGCGTTTTTAAAGAGTTGGATTATAAAGATTTTAATGGACCTGTTCAAAAAAATGAGTTGGATCATGTTTGGTTTATGAGCTTTAAAATTCCCAATTTCGCTTTATTAGTTTTCCCAATAGGAATGGTTCAAATCAAGCCTATGATTGTGTTAAACTATTGGTGTTTGCAAAGAATTGGCTTTCGGAAACGGCCTTAGTTGTGAAGCATCTATGCTTTATAAATTAACTAAAGGCTCTTTATGGCAGAAGCAGAAGCAGAAGCAGAAGCAGAAGTGGAATAAGCTGTGCGTTTGAGGATATTT